GTGCCAGTCCAGCCTGGGCTACAAAGTGAGTTCAAGGCCAGCCTGAACTGCAGAGTGAGACCTTGTCTCAAAAAGAAAAAAAAAAAAAAAAAAAAAAAGAGAAAGAAAAAGAAAACCCTACACCCTCCTGTGCAGAGCCACCTCCTGCTATAAGACAGAACACTCAGCTTGGTCTCTACACTTTATCCTATTGTGGTCCAGTTCTGGGGCCTGCGTTCTAGTTGACCTACACAAAAACTCCCCCATCCAAGGTGGGAAGAGCTCATGCTGGTCTGTGCCCAACAGAGGGCCCAAGGGCTGAAGATGTGACCCGAGGGGTGTGGGTGGCACTGTGGAAATCAGAAACCAGGAATGGAAGCTGCCTGGCAGGAGACTGCAGTCATGAGGCTGGGAGGAAGGTAGGGCTCAAGAGTCCCAAGGTTCCCTGAAATGAGATCCCATGGCCTAATAACACTCTAGACCCAAAGCCCTCTATGGTGCTTCCAAGCCAACGTAACTAGCCTTCTAGTCTCTTTCTTCTCATTAAGATTCTCTAAAATTCGAGCTGTCAGGAACTTTGGAATGTATCCAATCTGAATCTGCTTAAGGAAGAGAAAACTGAGGCTCAAGGTCACACAGCCAGAGTGTGGCAAAGCAAGGACCCGAACCTGGCTCTGCGGACTTAAGTCAAGGGTTCTTCTCGGTAAATCCTACAGGGTTCTAAGCACCGCTCTCTTCCGGGTTCTTCGTCGTGACCCCCAGCGTAACCTACCAAATCCCTTCCGCCCCCAATCCCCAGCCTCGTTATCCCAACTCTGCAAAGCCCGGCGCCCACCGCGGAGGGGACTCCTCCACGTGCTTCCCTTCCAGCTTCCCACCACCCAGGCAGTCCCTCCCGCCAGGCCCATCCAGGATACAGGACCCCGCCCCCTCCGGCAATCCCGCGCTCTCCGGAACCGCACCCTCCCGCCCCCGCCCTGAGCCCCACCCTGCGCCCCTGCTGTCCAGTACTCATGCCCCGGCCCCTCTCACCGGTAAAGCCGCTTGGTGTGGAGAACCTTAGCTTCGGGTTCGCTGCTCTCCCCGGTGGGGGGGCCTTGGCTCATGATGCCCGGGCCCGCGGGCGGCTCCCGATCACAGACCCCCGCCACCCGCCACTACCGCCGCCGCTGCCGTCACCGGCCGTAGTCGTATCCTCCTCCGCCGCCGGCCCTGCTCGGCCGCCATTGCTGTGAGGCGGCTGCCTGTGACGGCTCCGCCTCCGCCTACCAAATCTCGCGATAGCAGCCACCGTGCTACAGGCTAGTGACCAGCTGATACCAAATCTCGCGAAATCGGTTTCCCTCCAGGGAAGTTGCCAGAAGTAACTCTGGGCAGTATGGCCTTTTCCGGCTTCTCGGAGCCCTTGAGAAAAACTTTATTGACAAAGGTGATTGAGAACGGACAGTGGGCCCCGGAGAGGGGACTGAAGCGAAACTACACGGGCAGGTGGACCTACACCTGGGAGCGTGACTTTGCTGTGCACTGCAGTGGTTATTTGGTCTATCCTGCACCCTAATACCGCCACACACACATTTGAGTCAAGCCTCTTGAGATTACTGGATAGAATGATTCCAGTACCTCCCCATAATTTAAGCAAAAAGGGGTGTAGGGAGGTGTAACAAAGGTTCCTCGGAGAGGGCCAAACATCACATAAAACTGCACCTCTAGAAGTCGTCGTTTTTTGTTTTTTTTTTTTTTTTTTTGGTTTTTCTCCGGTACCGGGAACCGAACTCACGACCTTGCACTTGCCAGGTGCTTTTGCCGCTGAGCTAAATCCCCAGCCCCGAAGTCATCGTTTTTGTACGAGCATCTCAACCCTTCAGTTTCCCCTCCTAAAGATTTCCAGCTTACAAACCTGTCGTCTCTCCCAAAACTGTGCTGGGTTTGGGGACACACATAAGCAAGCTAGATCCTGTCCCTCCCCTCGAAAAGCTCAGATAACTTTAGGGTTAAAGCCTCATAGGAATGAGAAGTCACTCCCTCACATTTCTGCCCCCTGACCCTCTTGTTAAGGCACCTCTGGCCTAGGGATGTAATATGGCAGCGGAAGATCATCCGCCTAGCCGGGCATGGTGGTGCACGCCTGTAATCCGAGCACTCAGGAGGCTGAGGCTTGTAATCCCAGCACTCAGGAGGCTGAGGCAGGAGGATCGTTGCGAGCTCGAGACCAGCCTGAGCTAGAGTGAGCGCAAGGCCAGCCTGAACTGCATAGAGAGAGCCTGTCTCAAAAAGACAAAAAGAAAAAAAAAGACTATCTGCCTAGCATTCAAGTGGCCTTGAGTTCACCAAAAAAAATCACCTCCTATCTAATTTAGGTTATAGTTTTCCTGTTATTATTTTTTTTTTTTATTTTAAGGTTTTACTATGTAGTTCAGGATGGCCTTGAACTCAGTATATAGTCTGGGCTCGCCTTGAACTCACAGCAGTCCTCCTGCCTCACCCTCTTCAGTGCTGGGATTACAAGTGACCACTACCACCCCTGTCTTGGATTTTTTTTTTTTTTTTTACCTTAAACCTAAACTAAAAAACAAAACAAAACAAAAACCTAAACTAAAATCAAGGTGTTCTCGGGCCTGTGTGCACATTATAATCTGACTCAAATTCCCACTCTACCACCATGCTCTTGGCTGCACTGCCAAATTTTCTGTTCCTGAAACAGCCTAAGTCCCACCTACTGGCCTTTCACTTGCATTTCCTCTGTATAGAACACTCTGACTCCTGATTTCCCATCATGCTGCAGCTCAAATGTCACCTTCTCAGTGAGGTTTCCCCTATTGAAATGGTCTTACTGAGAGAACTATAAGGATTCTTTGCTATCTGTAATGCCATAGAACATAAATTCAAGGGCAGCAACCTGGACCTTGTTCTCTCTTGTGTCTGTGCCTAGAATAGTGCATAACTAATGCTCAAGTTTTTAAACTTTTTCTTTTTTTTTCTCAGTACTTGGGATTGATTCCAGGGCCTTTGCACTGAGATACACCCTCAGCCCTTATTATTTTGAGACAGGGTCTTGCTAAATCACTAAATTGCCCAGGTTGGACTTGAATTTGCAGTTCTCTTGCCTCAGCCTCCCAGAGTGCTGGAACGATAGGTGTGGGCCGCACCCGACAATAAACATTTATTGAATGAATAAATGTTTACAAATCCCATCTCTTTTTCTAGGTATTCTGTGGTTACTCCAAGCACCCCGTGGGGCACAAACTCCCTCTTCCCCCTCAGCTTGTCTGAGTTGGGAGTCCTCATACATCCCAGGTGCCTAGAACATAAATTTAACCTCTGTAGCCAACTGTACCCCTTCTTTCACAAAGGATGACATTCTCCACTACTTTTTCTGTCGGCCAATTCAGCAGGGGAGGGCCTGTCCCTTTAATTCGGGCCCCACCTGCTCTGGTCAGACAGGTTTGGAGACACAGGTAGAGGGAGTCAGACACAGAGAAACACTTGCAGAGCCATCCGGGAGCTAGGCAGCTCCTTCCTGGATGCTGGGAACCCTTCACCTCTCTCCAGATGAAAAGTAAGAGCTTGTCATGGGTCCAAATGGCAAGGGTGGGAGAGCCCTGGAGAAAGTAGAGGGAGATCAGTCCCATACAGAGTGAGCTAGATGGAGGGTGGCGAGGAGGGAAGACAGGAGAGAAGGAATGAAAAACAGCCATGAGTAGACCTACCAGTTAGAATGGGTAGACCCAGGACCCGTGGAGGTGACTGGGGTGGGGTAATGAGGTGTTCTGAAACTGACCAAGCACCTAGATTGCAGACAGAAAGACTGAGTGTTCTGCAGCTACCAGCTCCTTGGGACAGATTTGTCAGCCAGTCACTGCTACCAGTTTCCAGATTTCCAAGCAGGGATCTGCAGGGAGAATGGGCGGTGGGACAGTGGAGGGGCAGCTTCTCTGTCTGCTGGGAGGTCCTTGGTGGGAAGGAAGCTCTTGACAAAGTTCTAATACCTCCTCTTCCTCCTTTTCCTACACTAGGCTGGCCATGACCCCAGGGTTTTTGGTGTAGGGGCAGAAGCGTGGGTGGGGCTGAGTGAGGCCACAGCTGCCAGAGCCTGTGCCCCCTGACTCACCCTGTCCTGCTAGACAGCATTTGATGTTGAAAGGGTGTCTCCATCGCAGCTGCTCACTGCCTGCCTGCCTCCCTGTTTCAACACCTCTGCACCACATTCTCCCTAAGGTCCCAGAAGGGCCGGAGCCCTCGAGCCCATTTGCCCTGGAGAGTCTCCCTCCTTGATGAACTGTTCAAAAGGCCAGAAGACAGGGGCTTCTGACAGAGCTTTCCTCTGCTCCTTCCAGGATGACATGACCTTGTGGCAGAACCCAGGACTGAGACCCCAGGATGACAGAACCTGAGACCTTGGCCCTTTTGGAAGTGAAGGGGCCTGAGGCCCCAGAGAAGAGCCCACCTCAGACTCTGCTCCCCAATGGCGAGCAGCCAGAAGAGAAAGGTGGAACTGAATCCCCTGGAGTTGAGTCCCTCAGAGTGGGGTCTTCAGTTGGGTCTCCCACCATCAGAGAGGGGGCTGAGGATGGGCTAGACAGCACAGTAAGTGAGGCTGCCACTCTGCCCTGGGGGACTGACCCCCAGCCCAGTGCCCCATTCCCTGACCCCCCGGGCTGGCGGGTCATTGAGCCAGACCCTCTTGAGTCGGAACCACTCACCAAGCCAGAGGAGCTACTTGAAGATGACAGCAACTTGCTGCCTGAGAAGGCCGCCCGGGCCATTGTGCCCATTGACCTACAGTGCATTGAGCGCCGGCCCCAGGAGGACCTCATTGTGTGCTTCGAGGCGGGGGAGGGTGAGCACCGCAACTTCCTGCCCCCTCGGGCCACCCATCCTGAGCCCTCTGAGTGCAAGTGGGCCGAGGCCGTCATGAGGCCACCTGGCCGGTCCTGCGGAGGCTGTGGAAGCTGTGGAGGCCGAGAAGGGCTGAGGGCCGTGGCCTCAGTGGGAGCTGCTCTCATCCTCTTCCCCTGCCTGCTGTACGGGGCATATGCCTTCCTGCCTTTCGATGCCCCACGGCTGCCCACCATGAGCTCCCGCCTGGTCTACACACTGCGTTGCGGGGTCTTCGCGACCCTCCCCATTGTGCTGGGTGAGTCTAGACCCCAGGAGAAGAAAGGGGCATCTGGGAAGTGACCTTGAGAGAGCAGGGTCTGCCTGGCCTTCGCTCAGCCTGAACCCAGGCCCTCCCACACTTGACACTTGGTACCCCTCTCCTCCCAGGACCACCTCTCACCCACTGCCTAGTGCCCACGCCCATGCCCCTCCGCTGTGCACCTTACCGCAGCCTTCCTGCTATAGCTCCCGCCTCCTGCTCCCTCTGACCCTGTGTGCTTCCCACCCCACCAGGACTCCTGGTATATGGCCTGAGCCTGCTGTGCTTTTCTGCACTACATCCCTTTGGAGAGCCAAGGCGGGAGGTGGAGATCCACCGGCAGTATGTGGCCCAGTCCGTCCAGCTCTTCATCCTCTACTTCTTCAACCTGGCTGTGCTTTCTACCTACCTGCCCCAGGACACCCTCAAGTTGCTCCCTCTGCTCACGGGGCTGTTCGCCATCTCCAGGTAAATATGGGCTGGGATGCTGGCAAGGGAGGTGATGGTGCTATGGTGAGATCCCTCCCCTCCCCTCCCCTCCCCTCCCCTCCC